TGGGGGCCATGTGTACACCTTTAATCCCAGGCAGAGGCAAGTAGTTCTCTCTGAGCTCTAGGGACTCTTGGGCGAGTCCTAGGCCAGCCAGGGGTGTGCAGTAAGACTCAAAAAAAACAGAAACAAACATTCTACCAACCCTTCCCACTTCCCGTAATGCCATGACCTCATTTTTGCGTTAGACCCACACTATGGAACCCATCCCCGTGGAAGAAAAAGGCAGCTGGACTTGACGTCAGACCCACAGATGTGAGGAACTAATGAGAGCTCAGGGCTGGGAGTGGAGGGGTCACAGTCACTGCATCCATTTCCTCTCCCTCCCAGAGAACAGCAGAAGGAAAGAGTTACCAAGCCCTGGCACCGTGCCAAGAAGGGCAGACACCTCACACATACTAACATCCCCACAGCCAACCCTGGGGGAGACGATCCCCACTTTACACGCGGAGGCCCCTTGGCAGGGCGGTTAAATAACTAGTCCCAAGTCACAGCTGGTGGTGGTAATCTAAGACTCAACCTCAGGCCGCTCGCTGGCTCCGGTAAGAACGAGACGAGGTCTCAGTACACGGCCTAGGCTTGTCGATCCTGCTGAGGGTGCGCACCAGCATGCCTGGCTCACACTGTTAATAGAGCATTTTCAAGTTTCCTGTGCGTGCGTGCGTGCGTGCGTGCGTGTGTGTGTGTGTGTGTGTGTGTGTGTGTGTGTGTGTGTTTGTGTGTATCTGTGTCTAGCACAACCTCAGGCACACCACTCTCCTCCTTTGAGGCAGGGCTTCTTAAAGGCCTGGAGCTCACCAATCAGGACAGAGCCCTGGGGATGCCCTGGTCTTTGCCTGCCCACTGAGGGATTACAAGCAGGAACTACTCAGGGCATTTTTCACCTGGGTGCCAAGAACCGGAGAGGGCAAGGACTTTACCACTGGACCTATCTCCCTAGTCCTCTTTGTTCCAGATTAGTGAGAGGGGCACTCTTCAGGGAGTGCCACTGTCCCGCCGGTCACGGGATCCAAGACAGGCGTGAGAGCCCTGCCCCGAGATGACTGGCAGAGAGGCACAGCACACTTCCCTCCCCTCAAGGGCATTTCCTGAGACACTCTGCGAAGGTGTCAAGGAAGAAAACGCAGAGACACTCCAGCCCTTCTGCCTGGGAGGGGGCTTGGACTCCAGTCACACACACAGCCTCTCCTCAGCCCCACCCCAAAGCCGCCGCCTCCACGTGGTGGGCTGCGAGTGAGAAGGGGGAGCTGGGGGCAATGCCAGTTTAGACAGCAGCATTCAGAGTGTCACTGCTGGGCAGTTCTGTGGCTGGGGAGGTTGCAGAGATCCCGGACACCCCAAGTGTCTGCCACTCTGGGAGACAATACAGCAGTGGGACAAAGACAAAGCTGGAGTGGCCCGGGCAGCTCCCCAAAGGAAAAAGAACCCACACATGAAGCCAGGCCAGTGAGGAGCCAGCCCTGGAAGGAGCCCGTGACACCCTGCTGGGGTAGGGCAGGGACCGGGGAGGAGGCGCCCACTCTCCTTCCAGCCCCTCACACAAAGCTCTAACCCCCAGAGCAGCCCCAGACCTATCACCAAGCCGGCCAAGCAGGCCTGTGCTTCCAAGCCTCACATCCGGCCCAGCCCCCAGCTTCTAGGCAAACGGGTCTCTGTCCCCATTTCACTACTCAGAGGGGGGAAAACTATGAGGGGGAAAAGAAAAAAAAAGCCTCAGACGGCACAGATGGAAGGAGGCGGGAGACACATGCCGTGAAGAGGACCGGGCTCTCTCCTTTCCACATCCTCCTCCAGGTCCCCACATCCAGGAATAGAGCTGTGCCCTCAGTGAAGAAGGTCAACTCCCTCGCCTCCCATCCTGTTGACTGACACAGATCCCCCAGTGTGGCACCACCCCAAAGCTCCACCTGGCAGCCCAGCAGAGCAAGCCTCCAGAACGCCCTGGTTGGGCATGGTGGCATATAACCACTAATCCCAACCCTCGGGAGACTGAGTCTGAAGGATTAGCGGGGTTTGAGGCCAGCCTGGGTTAACCTCCGGTAAGCTGGTGTGATGGGCAATCAGCCCTATAGAAAAAGAGTCCCAGCTGGACGCGCTGTGAGGCCCGACCAGCTGAATTCAAAATCTACCTGCCTCGAGCCCTGGGCAAGTAGTGTTGAGAGACTAGGAGTCAGATACCCCAGCAGGCAGACAGGGAGGGAGAAGGGGGCCGTGGCTAGAATAAGATGTATCACCATGGCCTCCCCAAACCTCAGCGACCCCTCCTACATAATAGGAACAACTCCTTCTTGGGCTAGGGGAGGCGGCTCACACCTAAAATCTCAGCAAACAAGAGGCTGAGACAGGAGAATCCCAGCCTGGACTACACAGAGAATTCCAGACCAGTCAAGGATAGAGTGAGCCCTTGGATCAAAAAAGAAAAAAAGAAAAGAAAAAAGAAAGAAAAAAAAAAACAACCAAACAACAACCAAAGAGGGAACCCCCCCAAAAAAAGGGGCTCTTCCCTTTTTGACAATGTGGTTGTGAAGACTGATACACACAGATATACATGTGCAGGGCCTGTCCCTTAGTAAGAACCTCAGAGAAAGACACTGCTTCTACTTAACCCTGCCTACTGGAGCCCACATCAGGCCCCTGATCGTCTAGGGACCTCCAAATCTGTGTATGGGGAGCAGACAGCCCTGCCCACAGCAGCCCCAGCCCAAGTGCTCACATACGGAGGCAGGGCTGACTGGTTCCTGATATCGGGTCCTACCCCACAGGAGTCAGATTCCAGAAGCAAAAAGAACTGAGCTCTAATGGGCTCACAAGGCAAGGGTGTGGAATTTCTCCTTAGAGTGGGACAGAGAAAGAAAGGAAAACACACAAAAAGTTCTCATGCTTGGCCCAGGCACCTGCCCCCCCTCACCCCTCCCTCTCCTTGCCTGCTGGAGGCAGCTGGAGTCTACGGCTTCCCCTGGAACTACTAGGGGACAAGCCTGTGCGGTGGAACACACTGCAGGGTTACCCACACCCAAGGCACCGCACTTGTGTGCGTGAGCAACAGGACCAGAGCCCAGATTCTACAGCCTCGCTCAGTGTGGCCTGGAACTCTTGGAGACTCATGTCCCAAGCAGGGACAGGAAGGGAGCTGTCTTCCCACCTACGCCTGGGGTTGCATCAAGGACAAGAAAGGGAAGTACTACATCACTTGTTAGGTTTCACAAGTTCTCAGCAGCATCAGGGACTATTCTGCGTTTTTTAAGAGCGGGGAGACTGTTCTCTTCAGGCAGTGGATAGAAAACCATAAAGCCACCAGGTATGGTACAACCTCAACCCAGAACTTGGGAGACAGGATATGAGGAGTTCAATGTCATTCTTTTTTTTCCTCCTGAGATTTTTTGTTTGTTTGTTTTGTTTTGTTTTGTTTTTAGATTTTTTAAAAAATTATTTATTTTTACCTATGTGCATTGGTGTTTTGCTATGGGTGTCGGGTCCCCTGGAACTGTAGTTACAGTTAGGAGCTGCCGTGTGGGTGCTGGGAAGTGAACCCAGGTCCTTTGGAAGAGCAATCAGTGCTTTTAACCACTGAGCCATCTCTCCAGCCCCACTCCTAAGATTTTTTTGTGTTTGGTTTTGCTTTTGATTTTTTCAAAGCAGGGTTTCTCTGTATAGCTCTGGCTGTCCCGGAACTCATAGAAATCCACCTGCCTCTGCCTCCCGACTGTGCCAACATTGCCCAGCTAAGAACTTTTTTTTAAACATTTAATTATATGTAGGTGTTTGTGTCTCCATGTGGCTATACACATGTGAATGCAGATGCCTGCAGAGGCCAGAGGCTTTGGGCCCCGAGAGCTGGAGTTACAAAAGACTGTAATCACGTGGGCTCCTCGCAGTCTTTCTAGCCCCCAAGGCAATTTTTTAGAAGGGCTATGTGACACTATCATCGCAAAAACAACAACCAGAACAAACAATCAAACAAACAAACCCACCCGAAACAGTCCTGCAAGGGACGCCTCACTTCTCATGGAGGAGGATTGAGTCCTGTGGCCCAGCTGGCACTACCCTGGGCACCTGGCCAACCCAGTAAATTCCCCTACTTGTATTTTCTCATTTAATCTTTTAATCCTTGCTGAGGCAGGCCAGGCTGGTTCCAGCAGGGTGCAGTTAATAAGGTCTCAGGGCTCCAGACCACCTAGCTCAATGTAGCTCGTATCCCTAGAGGGCAGAGACTTCTCCAAGCCAGGGCAGACAAAGTCTTCTTCTCTACTGTCAGGAGGACCGTCCCTTACGCTGTCCTCTCTCCAAGGAGAGTGAAGGGTTTGGGGACATGGCTACAGAGGACAGGCTGTGTAACCCACACTGGCAAGTTTCTGGGTGGCTCCAAGCCCTTCTGTGCCGGGTGTGAATGAAGTGGCAGACAGGGGGCAGCTTCCTGGAAAAGGCAAGCTTTAGGAGCCTGGGCAGAGTCAAACAGATGCCCACACCTCTCCAACCAACTTCAGGTAGGAAGGCAGCATCCCCACCCCCAAGCCACCCCCAGGAGTCAGGAAGTGTGAGGTAACTGAGGAAAAGGGGGGGTGGGGAGACAGACAGGCCCGGGATTTCAGCATCTCAGGCCTCACAGACCACAGGTGCCCTTGCCCCATCCGGTTACACAGGCCCTCCCCTTCCACCAGCCACAGAGTGCCCGCCCCTCACCTGACTCTGCAGCTCGCTCTGTTGCTTGAGGCGGAGGTTTTCCGGAGTGTCAGCCACCATGGTGAAGGACTGCTTAGGGTAGTGTCTGCCGGACAGAAAGAAAATCGGGCGTCACGCTGGGGAAGGACAGGGAACTCCGGGCTTCTCTATTGTTGGACGGCCCCTGCCCACCTGCCAGTGCTGAAGGGAGTCAGGAACTTCTCAGGCACAGCCTAGGCTAGCTGAGAGGGCAAGACACAGCAGGCCTGAGTGGCTGCCTGGCAGACAGAACTGTCCAGGGCCACAGGGAGGCTTCTGAGGGTGTCCGATGACCCTTGTTTCAGATAATCCATGCCTGGGAGTCTCCCACAGAGGATCCCAGGGACAGGTCACCCAGGAGGGCCTAGTCAGCTGTGCAGATGGGCACAGGATCAGAACTCAGACTAGCAATGGAGACCAATTTAGACACAGAAGAGCATGAGAGACTAAGACTGAAGGGAAAATGAATACCGAACACCCAGACGGTTCCCTGTCAGAAGTTGTAAATTGGTGTGCTAGGAGAATACATGTGCCAGGAGGTGGTGGCGCACGTCTTTAATCCCAGCACCTGGGAGGCAAAGGTAGGCGGATCTCTGAGTTTGAGGCCAGCCTGGTCTACAGAGCGAGTTCCAGGACAGCCATGGCTACACAGAGAAACCTTGTCTCAAAAACCAGAGAGAGAGAGAGAGAGAGAGAGAGAGAGAGAGAGAGAGAGAGAGAGAGAACAGGTGTCCATCATGGTGTTATAAAGGGCTAACAATGTCCGAGTCACAGGGTAGTTGGGAAGGTCTGCTTGTGTCTAGTCACCTTCCAGTGACAGGTGACAGCAGTTAGCGCTGTCCTGTGCTAAGGGCTTATGGGACTCAGTCTATCAAACTTGCTGTCACTGCCCTCCTTTACAGACAGAGCAGAGGCTAGAGGTTGAACAGCATGATCTAAACACACAGAAACAGGTCAGTATTCTGCCCCCTAGAAAACATTTAGAGGTAGCCCAGAACCCAGTCTGCAAGGACCTGAAGGATAATGTCCTTACAGACGGACAGGTAACCAGTGTGTGAGGACTAGCCCTTGTCACTCAGCAGTCTCTGAGTTCACACATTCATCACATCGCCACTCTCTTCTCCGGTTCTCCAGGAGGGGAGAAAATTGCTTTTGGTCACTTGTCTATTGCTTTATCCAAGCTTCCAGAACAGCGGTTGAGGCTCAAGAGAGACCTGAAGAAACAAATGTCACGCCAGGTGCTGAAGTTGGGCTAGGACCGGAGAACTCCGGACAACCCCCGTGTGTCACCGTGAGGTCCTCAGGTAAACCAGCCATGGTCTGTGTCTGGTGCTGGAATGTGAAATAGGTAGGGTCCACATGGACCTCACCCATCTCAGGGGTCGGCGGGCGGCTTCTCCAAGCAAAAATCGAATTGAAAAGTCTGACTTGATTGTGTTTAGCTCTGGGTGACTGCACCCATCACAGCTGGGACCAGTGCAGACCCCCTGACTCACACACAGGCAGCCCAGCACCAGGTAAGAGACAGACGGCCCATGGGGGCCTTTTTCTAGGTATGACCCACCCAGGCCGGCCGACATTCCCACAGCAGGTCATGTGCTGCCACACGCTTGTATGCTTTAGCCAACCTGGCAGGTTCCCCAGTCACCTGTCCCAACATATGATGTCCCTCTGGGCTACCCTGGGTAGAGAGGACAACCAAAGAGGGTGTGACTCCAAGGGACACAGTGATAGGCTCTGTTTCCAGGTGACCATCTTCACCCCCCTGCAATGTCCCTGTCCTCGGCCTAGGCGATGCCTACGTGGGTCCTAGCCATCCCAGTTAGCCAGAGAAAGAGCTCCCCCAGCCAAAGGAGGGAGCTAGACGGGAAAAGCAAACACAGGTGCCTGCAGCTGGCAGCAGGAATGGCTGTGAATGAAGGCAGGCAAAGGCAAGGTCCCACCCCCAGGTCTGGCCCAGTGCCCTGCCGCCAGGCCACCCACAGCTCAGAAGCCCATCCAAAAATTCCTGCTCCTGCTCAGGGCCAGGGAGGCGCAAGCAGGACTCTGTTCCTAGAGACAAGAAATGAACAGAAGGAATAGAAGTGAGATCTCTAGGAGAACAGGCTGGCCCTGAGACCCTAGGAGATAAGGCTTCAGAAAGGACCCTCCACACAAACTGGACCCACTCTAAAGGGGAGTGGGACACTCGCCAGGGTGAGCCGGGCATCCGTCAGTAGAGATGCACACAGCAGAAGTCAGGGATCCAGGATCCAGGCAGCTCTGGCCAGGTGTCGAGGGTCAAGACTAGTAAGCAGCTAGCATTATGTTGGACAGAGTGAAAGCAGTCTGGAGAGCTGAAGGCAGGGACTCCACAAGCACACATCCACAGAACCGCGTCCACAAACCCTGGGTATTGTTCTCATTTGGCCCTATGTGCAGACTTAAGGCAGAAAGCCATCTCCATTGGCCCAGGGATAACCAGCCACGTGCAGACAGCCACACCCTCTCCCCAGTTCTGTGGCTCCGGTACACAGCATCTGCCTCAGGAGTGATTAACACATAGGTGTGTCCTCCGAATTGGACATGGAGCTGGCAGCCAGGGACCCCCACGTTCACATACCTCCTCCTCCATTCACCCTGTTCCTCTGCTACACCCTAGCCCCATCAGAAGATCCCAGGAGCCCCTCCAGCATGCACCAAATGCTTCGCTTCGGATGGGATTGGCGGTACTTCATCACCTCTTTGTAGCCACCATGATCTTCTCCACCCTCTAGAGCAGGAATATTAATGGGGGAGGGGGAGCAGTCTAGATGTGGACTCCAGAGTGCTAGGGATGGGGAAGGAATTTAATCCTGTTATCAGTTCTCGTAGATTAAAGAGCTCCAGACACTCGGGCGGGCGGGTTGCTACACCCAACCCCAGGCAGAGGACAGGCTCCACAGGGACCGCATTCCTCCTGATGGGTCAGCCCAGTCCCCTCCCCACAGCCCCCAACCCTGGCTGAGACAACCCTGCCTTTCCCTTCTCCTGCTAGCTGCTGTGCTTCAGGTTCCCATGGCAACCTCATCCTCAGCTCCAGGCAGGAGAGCAGAGAAAGGAGGGAGAGGTCTATGGGGTATGGGGGCAGGGGAAGACAGAATGCAGGAGTATCCTCCACCAAGGAGATGCCCAAGGGGCCTGAGCTGGTTTCTTATAGACAGCTGTGCTCAGGGTTGTTTCCAGAAGGCAGGACACCAGAGGCCCAGGGTTGTACCCCTCCCCAACATGGTGGTCTTTGAAGAGGACTCCAAGTGATCTTCCAGAAACCATTGCTGGGAATTCTACCCCTCCCGCCCTATGACCCCAGGTTGAAGCCACCTTTCACCTTCAGATTCAGGGGGCGGGGGCGGGGGTGGGACAGGAACACACCAGTTAACAGCTAAGACCACCCACCCCAGCCAGATCTTCAGGCTACAACGGAGACAAAATGAGAGACAGTATAAAGGTGCAGAGCTGAGTCCACAGAGCACAGATGTTCTTTGTCCCTTCCTGGGCTAGCCCCTTATTAATCATTCCCAGAGTGTGGTGCCTTCACCAGAGGCCTCTCCACAGACCTGTCTCTGCCTACGATAGCTGAGCGGGGAAGGACACGACAGACGGACGGACGGACGGACACACAACGACACATAGATAGTCCAATAGGACAGGAAGCTGGGTGGGGAGGGACAAGGAAGCTACCTGGCAGCCAGGAAGGTGAAAGCAGGAAAAGCCTGTGGTAGCCAGAAGGTAGGTGGGGGGCTGGGCAGCTGTTGTGGGGGAGGGGGACGGACACACGGACACCACAGGCTCACAGCTCAGTTCCTCCACAGGCTGCACAGAATCACAGGCTGTCAGATGCACAACCTCTCCCCAAATGCCCCCCCAGGGCTGGAAAAGGCAGGCACCACCTGGATACCGATTTCGCATACAGAGTGACTGAGGCCTGGAGTTAAGGACAGAGGCTTTGTTTGGCATCCTCTCCTCTGCCCCACAGCTGCCTGGCCAGCTGAAGGCATGCAGACCTGTTAGGGCAGATGGCTCTGGTCCAGCTCCAGCTCCTGGAGCTCGGTGAAAGGTGTAATTGGCAGGGTGATTGCCAAACGAAGTGCTTCATCCTTCAAGCCTAGCCCACTTCCCGGCCTGACCTTTGAACCCTTGAGAGGACAGTGACCTAAGGGTGGCCTCCATCTCAGGCGATGAGCTACACACCTGAGGACCTAAGCACACCCTTCCATGGCCTTGTGAAGTCGCTCCTAGATGACAGGGAGGAGTGTGAGCAGAAGCTGTATCTCAAGGGCTGACTAAGGACAGGCCACAGATTCTGAATGCCCAGCTCTCCATTTCTGCAGGGAACATCATCCCTTCCAGTCTGGGACCTCTTAAAAAAAACCCACAGCTTTGTGTTCAAAGAGGAGTAAAAATACATCAACAAAAAACAAGGAACTTTTGGTTTTTACCAAAAGGAAAGGGAGAAGAAAAAATGCCCTAACATCCTGCCTCTGGTTGGAGCTGTGGATCCCCAAAGCCCCTGCTGGGAACACTGCCCACAGACAAGCAGAGAGGGCAGGCTCCATTAGCCCTGATTCTTACCAGCCCCCTCCAGGCCTACAGGACTAAAGTGTTAGGGATAGGAAAAAAACAAGGAGGCATTGTTTGACCAGAGGTCGAAAATGAGCAGTCCGAAAAGATTAAGGGTAGACTGGAGAAAGAACTTACCAGTCCTTAGACTTGGCAGACAAAATGAAAAACCACATCCTTTTAATTCTTTTTTTTTTTTTTCATTCACTAACAACTTTAAACAATGTCCACACTTTCCCCCTGTTGGCAATATTTAAAGAGAAAAATATTGCCAAGCTAAGTAAGGCATGAAAATATTGGGCCTCAAATTCCTTATCAATAAAAATGGAACACTGGGAGCGAAAGGGATCTCCAAGGTGCCTTGAGGCCCTGACATGTCTACAAGTAGGGCTATGGGGGGAGGGGGAGTGAATGGGGCAGGTGAGGTGCTTGATGGCTACATTTGACACTCTGGCTCCCTGTTTTTGCTGGCCTCCTTCATCCAAAATATACCACACACACCCCTTACACCTGTATTGCTCCCAGCTCCCTAACACGCTTGATTCAAGAAGCAGAGAATTTGGAGGAGGTAGGCGAGCCTGGGATGCTGCAAATGCCCCCCACTCCAGGACTGTAGCAAGGCCAACCAGATCGACTACACACACAGCAAGACCTAGCTCAGAACAAACCAACCTGTGGCTGGAGGTAGCACAGTGTAGAATGCCTGGCCGAGCTAGCAAGCCAAAGCCCTTGGTTCAAACTCCAGCTGTAAATAAACCATGCCAGCACTGGGAGGTGGAGGCAGGAGGATCAGAAGTTCAAGATCAGACAAAGAAGCAAGATAGCTCAGCTCTACAAGCCTGACAACATGAGTTCAAACTTCGGAATCTGCAGTGGAAAGAGAACCCAGTCCCGAAAGTCATCCATCGACCTCTACATGAATGCACTGGCATGTGATTGCCAGCACTCATACATACATGTACCTCTCTCCTTCTCTCCTCCTTCACACATACACAAACTTTTTTTAAAGTTCAAGGTCATCCTTGATTACACAGTGAGCTTAAGGCCAGCCTGGGCTATCTGAGACTGTTTCCCAAACACTGGGATTGGGATCAGGATGCTAGAATACACTGACTGGGCCCTAGAAATGGGAAGATTCACAGTCCCCAGCAGGAAGGACATTTCCACTCTTCTCAGCTCAGCCCCTCACCCTACAGTTCTGGAAAACTGAATCAGGAACCCAGATATCTGCAGTCACTTTGAGGGAAAAGGTTCTACTGAGGTCTCTCTTCCTTCGCCACACGGTTCCTCTAGTCTACAGTGGGCGTCCTGTCTGCGGGTCCCCAAGGCAATTAGTCCCATTGCCACCCCAACCCCAGCTCTGACCTCCAGACTCCTGTGATTGTTTGCATGGACCCAGGGAAACAGGTTTGCAAGAGCCAGGGTTCCGATGATCCAATTTACAAAACAAATACTCCAGGGCATAAATATTTCTCTAGCCAACAAAACAGGCCCACTCCACCCACCTGGAAGCTTCATGAAAGACGAGGTGAGCAGGCCTGCTTGGGCTGCCCTACAGGTAGGAGCGTGCCCCCCTCCCTCACTGCGAAGAGTTCACCATAAGGAATCTGCAGGAATCTCAGTGGGAGCCCAGGGGAGCCCAGGGGATGGTAGGAGGCCACTCCAGGACAGTGTCTAACTACATGCCTGTGGTTCACCACACCAGGCAAGCTGGCTGTGAGCACCAGTCTCCCCAAACACGTCCTTGCAAGGAGAGAAACAGAAGCCCTTTTCACTGTTCAGTCACTTTCTAGAACTTTGGAAAGACAGAAGGGACACTCGGCTTTCTTCTCTCATTTCCTCTTCTTCCACAAGACCCTAAGATGCCCCCAGGCTCAGACACCACCAGCCGGGAACAGGCAGGCAGCACACAGAAATTCCCTGCACACCAGACTCACCCCACACTCCCTGGGTGGCCTAGAGCCCTGGCAGATTGCCAGGAGATGTCACCTAGCCCTGTGTGTCCCATCCTAGTCAGGTTTAGTCCAGTGGAGGGGAGCAGCACCCTGCAGAAGATCTAGCCTGTGGCCCACAAACACACCCTGGACTGGAAGGAGTCTGGAGTGTAGGGGGGAGAAGCCCTGAGATTCGGGAATCTGAATGTCACTGAAAAATAGGCTCAGAGACAACTCCAAATGGGAGAGAATAAGTGACCATTTGACTCAGGGCCTAGCACACAGCAGGGATTCTGATCTCGGGCAGGGGGAACCCAAGTTCAGACAGGTGCAGAGGCCACCTATCTGCATTTGGCTGGGGACAAGGAACTTAGCAGACAGCTCCACAGACACAAAGCCAGCAGGGAGCTGTAGCAGCCAAGAAGCTGATGCAGCTGGAATGAAATGAAGCACAGCTAAGACACACACGCGCGGATGGACGCGCGCGCGCACACACACGCACACACAGGACACCCAGACACAAGCCAATGCAGGTCCTTCCCAGCAAACACCCAGAGGGTGGGCCAGAGGCTAAAGGTCACCTGTATAGAGCTGAAGTTAGGAGAGACACCAACCTGTTCTCCGAGCGGAATGTCAGGAAAGGGATATAACTGGTGACTCCCCAAGCAGGGAAGACTTATCTCCTACTTTCCCCAGGCCCCAAAGGCTGCAGGCTCTCTCCTCTCCCATTTGCTGCCTGTCTCCCCCAAGAAGGCTAAGCTAGAACTCTGGCTCCAGGGCTAAGGGCATTCTGATAGAAAACATTCTCTCTCCGAATTCCAGCGCTCACTGGGTCGCAGGTAAGCTGACTGGAGAAGAGATCAAGGGTTATCACCCTGAGTGCCCCATGCTCAGCTAGACTTCTGCCAGGAAGTGGAGGCCCACCCAGAAGATGCCCCAGGAGGCTGGCAGACCAGGCTGGAGTAGTCCGGCACCCAAAAGGTTAAGTGCCCTGGTTTTTCTGAACCCCACCCCACTCCCCAAAGAAGGGAGGAAGTGGCAGAGAACCAGGGTTTGTGTGAGCCCTTAAGAATTCAAAGAATGTCCCATTTCCCTTGGGGCTGGGAGGGCTGGGGGGCTGGGTAGGCCAAGGAGCCAAAGAAATCAGGAGAACTAAGGGACCAAAAAGCTGTGGGCCCTTCCTCTACTCAGAACCACCCTGGGCTGGACCGTCTTAACGGGAACAATGGCCATGCTGCCTCTTGGGCTTGAGACTGTATCAGAAATCAGGTTCCCAGCACCTGAGACAGGTTGGCATAGAGCAGAGGGCAAGCAACAAGTATCTGGTGAATGCTCAAACCCCCAAGGTCCTTGGGCAAGGAGGTGGGGGCATGATAGCCTGCCCTCAAAGAGACATGTCTCCAGTTTTCCTTCTGGTAAACTTTGGCTATGGAGAATTTAATTAGCAGACCAGCCGGTCATGGTGAAACATGTTTATAAACCCACACATCTGGAGGCGAAGGCAACAAGTTTTAGGTTATCTATCCTCAGCTACATAGTGAGTCTAAACTAGCCTGAGATATGTGAGACAAACAAGCAAAAATATCTGGACAAGTCAGATCAGAAACTTAACTGATTACCGATCTTAGCACCTCCCTCTGAGGAACCTGACCTCCTAAAGCCCAGATCTTGCAAGTGGTCTGCGGGCAGCTGCAGAACCTGCTCTGACTTAATGCTGAGGGTGCACTTGCTACTCAGGAGTCCCCTTGGAGATAAGAGTTTCAACCCTCTCTGAAACTGCAGGAGACTCACTTCCAGGATGGTGTCCCTCTAGGGTGGGAGACAACGGCCTCCCTCCCCAAGCCCTGCATCCAGCTGGCCACAACACAGGATTCTGTATAAGGAACAGAAGTGAGCTAGTGACTCTCAGAATAATGGACAACGGTGTCACTGGTCTCCCTGCAGGGAGGCCACACCCTTCTCCTTCTCAATATGAAAAGGAGGCTAATCCCTGAGGAGCACTGGCTGGTTTTGCAGAGGACCTGGGTTCAACTTGCAGCACCCCCATATAGTCTCACAACCACCTACAACTCCAGTTCCAGGGGATCTGATGCCCTCTTCTGGTCTCCATGGATACCAGGCACCCAAGTGGTACTCATACACAAGTGTAGATAAAACATAAAATAAAATAAATAAAACACATAAAATAAAATAAATGAATAATTGTTTTGTTTTGTATTCTCAAAAAAAAGAGAGGAGAGAGGAAGACAGAAAAGAAAGAAACAAGAGGTCTCTAGAACCTTCTAGAAGGGACAATGGAGAAAAGAACCACCAAATGAGAGAAAGCCAAGGGGAGAACCCCCCACTCCCAAGCCTGGATACAGTGCAGCAGGCACAGGACAGGTCTCTTAATCCCTGCTGTACCCTTTGCAAAACAAAGGAAGTAGCCCGCTGGCTTTACTACCCAGAGGCTGTCTATGAACCAGCCTCACCTCAGCCTCGCCATGTGATCCTGGGAAAGTCCCCTCCCTTCCCAAGCCTGTTTTCTCATCTGTAAAATGGGGACAGTAAAAGCACTCTGCTATGGAGGGACAATGTGACACACTATTGTCACAATCTATTGAGTAGGGTGTGCAAGTGCAACAATGTCACCTTGGGCTATGGGGGGGAGGGGAGAAGTTGGAGGAAAGCCAGGCACCCCGAAGACTCCCGTGTCCCCCGAGACTCACGCATTGCAGTAAGGTTTCTTCTCATAGCCCTTGTAGTTCTTCATGTTCAGGGTCATCTTGCAGGTCTCGCAGTGAAAGCATGCTTTATGCCAGAACTGGGTGGGGACAGAGGGAAGACAGAATTAGACATCGGAACTTCCCTAGGCATGGACACTAAGGCTGTAAGAACACCTGGGGAAGCTGGGCGGCGGTGGCAGCACAGGCTTTAATCCCAGCACTCGGGGTGGAGGCAGGCAGATCTCTGAATATGAGGCCAGCCTGATCTACAGAGTGAATTTCAGGACAGCCAGGGCTACACAGAGAAACCCTGTCTTTAAAAAAAGCCAAACAAAAAACAAAAAACAAAAAACCACCACCTGGTGAACAGGGGCATTTCAGGTCACAGGCTCTGGCAGCCAATGACACTCCCCTCCCCTCCTCATGCCCCACCAGACAATTATTTAGCTGTCAGGACAGCAAGTAGATCAGATCTGAGAGAGTAAAGGGGGAAGAACCCAGTTAAGAAGGAGGTAGCAGCCCCCAGAAAGGCATCTCCACTTCCCCAGACCACTCCAGCCCAGAACTGGATGAGCCTCATTGATTATGCAAAGCGGCACTCCGTTGCTAAGCAGCACACTGGGAAGAAGCAGGTCCTCGGCTGGCCACCAAGCCTGCAGAAGACAGCACAGCCAATGCACAAAGGCCCGGCCCGGGGCAAACCTATCTTCCCTCTAACTGCTGACCCCCTGGAGCTCCCCTCTGCAATGCTCTAAGCTCAGCTGGCTCTCACTTCCCAAAGGACCCCCCCCCATTAGAGGAGCCGATAGGTGCCCCAGCCACACCCACATCCTGTCCACTCCCACCTCTCCCACCGGCAGCTGGACGAGGGTGGGAGACACCCTGAAGAGGCAGAAAAGAGCTCTCAGCTAGACTCCAGGTGTGTCCGTATCACAACCCCACCCAGAAAGCGGGATGACCTTGGCCTCACCCTGTCTGCACAGCACCTGGGAGTCTGATTCTACTTCCTGTCTATGGACTGCATAGAATAATGCCTGTCTTCCCGGGGTTGTTAAAGAGTCACGAGAAACCACCTGCCCCCAGCAAAGCACCTGGCACTCTGCTTCCACGCAGGTGCTGGACATTGGAGGCACTCAGTCTAACTTGAGCTCCAACGTGGGTACATGGGACAGAGGCGCAGCCCTAGGAAACCAGGGTTCTAAAACAGATCCATCAAGACTAATCCAGAGTGGCTGATGGAGAGAAGGAGAAACCAGCTCCATCCCAGAATTTCGGCTTTAGGCTGCTTGTATCTGCCTGTCTCAGCAGTCAAGAGAGATACTCTTGACCCCCAAAGGAGGTAGCCAGAGGCCAGGGAGGGGCCAGGGAGACCTCAGAAAGTGACTGAGTGAGCGGCAGGACTGATTCCCAGCCATCTGTCAAAGAACTCCCCCAAAGTGGTGCTTTTTAAAACATGTTTCCCAAACTAAGAGAGCTTCAGACACACTCAGAGAAGGGGCCAAAAGAAAGGAAGCTCAGTGGCTGGGATTCCTCCCCTGCACCCCAGCACACTTCACCCAGACACCAGGACTGTTTCTGGGGGCAACTGCCCTCTAATGGGACATTTTTCCTATCAAGCAGACCCAACGGGGGGGGGGGGGGGGGATCTAACAGGGAATGTTAACAAGGAGATGCAGGAAACGACTCTTTGGGAAGAGAGCCAGCTGTAAGTCTGGAAGTAAAGGGTCGGGTGGTCTGAGCTTGGCCCCACCCCCACCTGGGCCCATCCGAGAGCCACTGCCTCCCCCCGCTCCCCCCTCACAGTAACTTTCAGAGTCCTTACTGTTTGGGGGTGTCACATACCCCCAACATAAAAAAAAAAACAGAAAAAATCAAAACAGGGTGGTCCTTCCCCCAGAGATCCCCTGACTGGGAGGCATTGGCAGACTGCCTCAGCTGTCACCAGCTAAGTCTGCAGCCTCTGCCTGCTGCCCCTGCCTGGGCCCCTGCCTCCCCTACCCCCGCAGGGGCCTGCCAGGAAAAACATTCTGCAGAATCCAGACCATGACCCACTTTCATACACACACACATATGCAGGAGTACACTGTCCTAGGGCTAGGGACCTCCAAGGTTGCCTCCTGACAAACTCCGGGTCAGGAAGGAGATCTCTAGCAGATGACCAGATCCTCACCCTACAGCCAGGCCCTGTGGAGAAGGAGCTAGTAGAATACAGACCAGGCTAGAGTCCCCACAGGAACTCCAGGCTGCTCCCAAGAGTTTGCTCCCATTAGCAGTTTACTCCTAGAGATCCTAAGGGGGCCAGTGTTCTCAACTTGATACATCAGCCTGCGATAAGGGGGGTCATCTGTCCTTTTGGGGGCTGCTCAGGAGCAGAGTAATGGAAACCAGAGTGAGGTGGGTATCTGCTGGGCGACTCCCGAGGGAGGTCTCCACATCTGTAAAGCAGGGCCACAACTATGATCTCCCCCAGGAACTGTCGGAGAACCAGAAGGCCACTCCTTTGGGGAGGCAGGAAATGGCCATTCATTCAAGAGTGCTCGTGAACCAACTCCAGAATGAGAGAAACTTCATCCTGTCTCTTGTCAGGTATGGAAGAAAGATGATGTAAAAGAAGTCCCAAGAGGACCTGCCTTCTTCCCCTGGTTCTAGGAGCCTTACTTAGTTCACAGCAAGAACGGCCCTGTTTGCAAGGTCCAGGGCAGACTTTTGGCATGCGCTCCTAGGATTTAGGACTGAGGAAGTGAACCGCACCAGGAGGTGTGCGGCTCAGAATGTATCCCTAGTCACAGGGCAAGCTGCCCACGAGATGCAGCTCAGTCAGACCCCAGGCACCAGACAACCACCCTCCCCGGCCTGTCTGAAATGCTGTGTGGGAAAAATGACTCCAGAAGGACAGACGGGCCAGTGGGGACAGAAGCCCCTGCAAGGATCCCACACACTGGAGCCAGACCCTGGGGCTCCATGGCTCTAGGGGAGGAAGAGAGGAGCTTCATCCAGGTCCCTGTACCTGCAGCCTGTCACCTGCTTCCTAGGATGACGGTGACTCAGGGCTGGAGTATGAGACTCCTCCCTTCCTGTAGCCTAGAGTTAGAGTTTGCCCCTTCCTAGAGTCAACACCAGCACTACCCAGGCTCAGGCCATCAGCCTAACTCAGGGCCTCCAGCTTATAAACTCAACCCACTTCCACAATTCCTTTCTAGAAACCTGAAGCCCCTGGAACCATTGCCCTCAGGATCCTAGGCCCAACACCTTCCTCCAGACAGGATGAGGAAGGGTGGGACCCACTCCCCCCCCCCTCCTCTTACCAACAGGGTTTCACTACGTAGCTCTGGCTGGCCTTGGAATACACTATGTAGCCCAGTCTACTGACCTCAAACTCAGAGATCCTCCTGCCTCTGCCTCCCAAATACTGGGATTAAACGTGTGTACCACTATGCTGCCTAAGTGGACCCACTTTTGGAAAAGAGACAGTGTAAATAAAAATACCTGTTTGCAAATACACCAGCAGACGACCTAAACCGCCAGAATTTTGGGAGCTGGGGAGGCAGCTCGGTTGGCAAAGGGCCCAGCAGGCACAAAGACAAAATCCTGTGACCCACACTCAGCACTGTAAAAAGTGGGTGTGGGGTGTGGTGGCAAAACTCATCAGTCACCCCAGCACTTGGGAGGCAGAGGTAAGAAGAGGATTTTGAGTTCGAGGATAGCCTGGGCTACATGAGACCCTGTCTTTAAGAAAAAACTTTGCAAGTCATAGTGACATATGACTGTAATCCCAGCACTTAGGAAGCTGAGGCAGGAGGATTTAAAAAAAAAAAAAAAAAAGACAGAAAGATAAAACTTTCGCTAAAAGGAGGGAGACAGGCTGTCCATCAACCTCCTCTGGGTGGGTAAGGTCATCCAGAATGTGGCCCAACACAAAACGGCAAGCTTACTTAAAATATTATAAGAACTTTTTTTTGGATATTGTATATTTCTCTATTGAGAATCTTGTAGATGACAATATCATGTCCCAATGTCAAAAAGTTGGACACACTTGCTTATTGGGCTCATAGTTTATAGGAGTTATCTTCCCCCACCCCATGCCCCACCCCCACCCCATTTGTGAGGCTGCTCAGTCCAGTACACTTCAGTAAGTAGTACCTAATATGAATGGCTGGTCCTGAAGGGATTACAGGGTATTCCAAACTTTTCTTTTTAACAAAAACAAAACATGGGGTGGGGGGGTCAGAACAAGAGCTCAGTGGTTAAGAGCAAGGGCCGATCTTCCAGAGGACCCTGGTTCAATTCCCAAAACCGACATGGTGGGTCTCAGAATTTTGTCAATTCCAGTCCCAGTCATGCCAACACTTCTTGGCTTCTTCTGACACCAGGCACACACATGGTGCACAGATACCTATGCAGGCAAAGATCTGTACACATAAAATAAAGCAAACAACAAAATTGTTGTTCATGGCTACATGAACTTTGTTCCTTTGAGGGAACAGGGGTACACCCTAACAGCCATTTGAGGCAGGAGGCCCTCTCTAATGGAACATTCCAAAGCAACTATCAGTGGGCCAATCCCCCAGCTTTCCTGACTGTCTCCACCTGTTTTTAAAAGCTGAGGGAAAAAGAAAGTGAGAGAAAGCTGTGGCAGCTTCTCAACAGTGTAGGTCACTAGATACAAAGTAGGTGTTCAATAAATATTTGTTAAATGAATGAGGTCACCCTGGCTCTCCTTCCTGCTCTAATCCCAGAAAACCCTCTGGGGAAACAAACCTCAACCTCCTTCCTCAAACACCGTCAGCACTACAGATTTATTTACCCAGCATGCAGAGCTCGCTGGTACTATGGGTTGGGGACAGAGTGGCCTTCATTGGTGATAAGGTTTACCCACTTATGCCTTTGACAGATAAGGCTCAGGCAGGAGAAGACTGCTCATCAAGGACACAGCTTCCACTCTAGCCAAGCAGCAGGCGGGCGGCATGCCATAGGGGATTGCAGTAAATCAGGCCAGTCCACCTTGATTCTCCCTGACTGGCGGCCAGAAGCCTTGGGAAGTTGAGTAGCAACCATGCCTATGGGACTGAACTTTCCTCATACCCAGGTCTCTGCTCAGCATTCTCCAGGGCTCCAGTTCTAACTATCTGTTCTTATTGCCTGTAGGGCATGGACGGCAGAGACAGGCCGGCAGGATTCTCCAGTCTGTGGAGGGGGTGAAAGGCAGATGTCTCTCCAGGGCCACTTCCGCTAGGGGGAGTTCTAAAACCAGAAAGGAATCACCCACTCCCACTTCCCAGGGCAACCCCAACTAGATTATCCTCTTCTAGCTAGGGCATCTAGGATCCCTGCCCCCTTCCCTATGACACACAGCACTGAAGGTCTTTACAAGGAGAGTGGCTGGAATGCTGGGCAGAAAAGAGAGAAGAGAGCGGCCTTGACCACACTCCCTGCACTGCCCACCTCCCAGGCAATGACATCATCAATGCCCATCTGGTGACAGGGAGTACTGAGGCCCAGAACCATTCATAAAGCTGATGGGCATAGACCTGGGCTAGGACCGTCTCCCACTTCCCAGGCTCGCAATCCGCCCATCATCCATTGCCTCTCCCCACTCATTCCTGGGGAGCCCACTTGACAGCCTAGGGAACTACTGCAAATGCCGGGGTCAAAGCACTTGACCAGGAATGACAAAGATTTTCCTGTAAGGACAGTTAACTTCTCGAGTTTGTTTGTTTGTTTGTTTGGGGGGGGGTCTCCATCTAGGAGTGCCACTCTCCAGGGACTAGTACAGTGACTAAGCAGGTCAGCACCTCCCCTAAGCCACTCCTAGACTCCAGGCTAGCCCAGCCCCATGTCCTTTTCCTCCAGAAAAGAAGTCCAAATGTTTCAGAACCACGAGTCCCCGCCTCCTGACCTGGACTCGGAGGTCAAAGGTTCCTAAGAACGAACTTATCTTAGTCCGGAGAGAAGAGACAAAGTATTTAACAAAGTATCCATTTCCAACAAAACTAGATCCCCTCTCTCGGGCGCAGGCCTATCGCCTGTTCAGACGGAAAGGTGGGAATAGGTAAACTCCTATCTAGCCTGGGGAGCTAGATACAATGTACCCACGAGGAGCCAAATCACAGAGGCGTCCCTTCAGAGGGGAACACAGAGAAGGGACAGGTTGCCTTTGGCTTTAGAAGGATCAGCAAGGCAGGAGGGTCCCACCTCAAACTGTACCGGAAACACCCAGATCGACTCTTCAATTCCCCTTGCAGAAATGTAATAGCAACCAGATGAACGAGTCCAGCCTGGGCCGGGGATGTGTAAGAGCCCCTAGGGGACAGCTAATTTCCAGAAGGCTACCCTCTCCGCCCTCCCCTCTTAAAAAATTCTCCCTTTCCTTGGCTTCCCCAGAAGTCGGCCAATCCCACCCTCCATTGATGAAACCAGCTCTGAAAAGTTAGCTCTTTGTTCTCTCTCAGCTGGTCTCCAGGCTGAGCACAATTTCAGATCTCGGAGAAGCGTCCCCTCCAACCCTCCCCACCTCAGCACCCCACCCCGCCCAGCTCCTGCTGGGCTGCCCAGCACCCAGAGTGGCTTGCAATTTGAATTGGCGATTGGGAAAGCTATGAAGGAGGTCTGCGGGTTCCCTAACCAGGGAACCAGCAAGGAGGGGGCAGTCCAGCAGGTCGTTCAGACCTGGGGGGGGGGGGTCTCGAAATAAGATTCCCGTGCTGCCCCTAAGTCCCTTTCACCACAATTGGCACTCGCTGGCCAATGGACCCGACCCAGCTTCTAGGCCAGGAAGCTGGGCTACCAGCAGCCCAAGCCCGGAGGGTTGCGCTGGCCCCAGCCTCCGCCCCGCCCCCGCCGCCCCCTCCCCCCAGCGCCCCGCGCTTCCTCCTACTTGGCGCTGGGCGCCGCGGGGAAAGGGAGCGGCCGTCTCCTCTCTTACTCCCGGCTCTGGGGGGGGCGGGACTGCACCTCTAACCTCCAGCACACACCCCAGCGATCCTGGTTTCCTGGTGCTCTCCCGCCCTTCCAGCCATCCTAGCCCCGACGCACAGAGCCCATCCTTCTCCAGCGGTGGCTGCCCACCGCCTCGCCTTGGATTTCCCGGGTTCCAGACTGTGGTCTGTCTCCGCACCCCAAGTCACGTCCCGCCTTCCTTCCCTGCTCAGGGGATCACAGAGAAGAGCCCGCAAAGACCCAGTCCCTCCTTCCTCCCCCGACTGAGAGCTGCACTGGGAATGCCTAGCCCGGGGCGCCGGGTGCCGGAGCTCACCTTATCCAGACAGTTCACCTTCTCCGTGGGATACACGATCTTGCCGCACCGGGCACAGTTAGGGTTCATGGTTCCGGGGAAAGACTGGGGCGGGGACGCCCGAGCTCGCGCGCGTTCCCTTTTCCTTGGGCGAGCGTCTGAGAGGCGGCGGCTGCAACTGTGCAGGCGACGGCGACTGGAACTGGGGAACTGGCCTCCGCCTCCGCCCTCCTTCCCCTAATAAACACGGTGGGGAGGAGGGGCTGCACTGGCTGGGGCGGGGACGCGCCTCGGACGCGGAAAGGGGCGCGCGCGACAAGGCGCGCTCCCCGGGCGACGTGGGGCTGCGTGGGGGCGGGTTCCGGGGAGGGCTGCAGGACGTGGGTGCTAGAGTCCCTAAGCTCCCGGGGTGCCCGCGCCCCTGGGCTCCCCGACTGACGGCAGCCCCTGACCACGGCCCTTACCCAACTGAAGATACATATGCGACTGCGACAAAGCCCGATCTCCCGTGAGAGGGCCGACCCCACGCACCCGATGAGGGTGGGGATGGTACGGATTCTCCAGACTCGGGGACTTTCTTTATACCAGTGGGTACCCAACGTGAACCTGCGGGGAACCCCACCTGCCCCGCCCAGTGCCCCAGCTAGTTCCCTTCCCGCCCACGTCCTCTCCTACATTGGTACCTGCCCCTTTCCCTTTGGACTCAGCGCGTCCGGGTGTTCGCACTCCCTGCGCCTCTGAGCTGCAGGATTCCTGGGGGTTCCTGGGCATCCTCTGCTTTTAGCTTGGTCCCCTTTGCTCTTTTATTCTTTTCCCTTGCCCCTATAGTATCCGTGTAGCAGCTGCAACAGTATCTTACTACTGAAAAGAATTTGCTCCAACCACTGGAGCGGTGTGGGGGTATAGCTCAGTGGTAGAGCATTTGACTGCAGATCAAGAGGTCCCTGGTTCAAATCCGGGTGCCCCCTCGGAGTCTTTTCTTCGATTTAATGGCCAAATAAAGATACATATCGTTTCAAATATGATCTTAACCCAATCCTGGGCTAAAATAGGTATATATATAAAAAAAAAAAGGTTGTTCACTTTACAGTCTAAGCCGAAAGCCTTTGTTTTTGCCTTGTATCCAGCAGAAGAACATCTGTCTGTCAGGAACAGAAGTTGCGCGGCCTCATTTGGCGCCGGAGTGGTGATTTCTGCCCACGGTAGCCTTGCAGGTTTTGATTGGATGATTCCACACTTGGGTTTCAGGAGCCAAGGTCACTCCCCGGGTTGGCATTCTATGTCCCATGAGGATAAGGGTAGGTCAAAAGAGGAAAACTCACAGATATGGCCCTTCCCCAACCTAAACTTTCTGTTTTCCTTTTTTCATTCTGCGTTCATGATTACTCTACGTTCTTGTCAAGCCTCCCTGTTGCTTGGTGATGCGGACCGAGTAAAAGCCCTTCGAGAACGTGAGACCGGCAGCTGCGGTGCGCACCCGTCAGCTCTCTCCAGTGCAAAAGAGTAAGATCCCAAAGCCAAGTAATATAAATTAGTGCAGTGATTTTCAAACTTATGCGTGCTCCAGAACGACCTAGAGGGCTCGTTAAAGCATCCCCAGTTTCCTGTTGTGTAGACCTGGAGGGAGGCCTTGCCAATTAGCTCTTCGAGGGATTTTCCAGGTGAGGCACTCAGGGACCCAGGCACCGGTCTTGGAGGATCACTGGAGTGTTACTACAAAGCCATCGGGTTTGAAATCCTCAAAATGGGGACAGGTGTCCATCTGCTGAGTGTGTGGCTTACGGTATCTGGGCTGGAAGAAATCTCAGTGTAAAGAAGGAGGCAAGGGCGGTCCCCTCAGCTAGGTTTTGCCCAAAAAAAGGAAAAAGAAAAGAGACAGGGAGAGGCATGCTGCCTGGGTCAGGGTGCGGCTGTGATATTTTAAACACGGAATCTGGTTGTGTCATCCCAGGACCCCAGGGGAATACTCTCGTGCATTTTTTTGCTTCCCAGTTCCCATTACTGTTCTCTGCGGGTCTGAACAAGGAAGGGGCTAGAACAGCTGCGGGCCAAAGACCAGAAATACCTGACCAGTGCGTCTCACTTCCCAGGCACTAGGCCTTTCGTGAAGTTGTATTTTATCAGGCCTCAACTTCTCAGGGAAGAAGGTTCTCATTTTTTTTAGCTTTAGACCGTGTCTTTTTTTTTTTTTTTTTTTTCATACAGAGTGTCATGTAGCCCAGGCTGGCCTCGATTTTGATATATAGGCCAAGGCTAATCTTAAACTCCCTTGAACTCTGATCCTCCTGCCCCTGACTTCTAAGTACTGGGAGTAACAGGCATGTACTACCACACCTTGCTACAAACAAGTATATAAACATTCGGTATCTGGATTCATCTTAGTCTTTTGGGTCTTAGTCTTTTGGGTCAGGATACAAACTAGGTAAAAGTAATACTGGTGGTTCCACACCTCAACACTCTGTGACCGGCACTAGTCCAGTATGTTAGGAGAGTAGAGTTCTCACTAGTTACTGCTGATTCTGGAGGACCACGAACATTCCAAACGGTGTGGAAAATTTGGAGGATGGAGATGTTTGATTTGGAAATAGAGATGTTTGATTTGGAAATAACTGAGTAGTGGAATTGTATATGAATGTCAATGAAAAATATGCACATCCATTAAGGGGGCACCCGGATTTGAACAGGGGACCTCTTGATCTGCAGTCAAATGCTCTACCACTGAGCTATACCCCCTCTGCTGGTATGAGCTGAGAAAATTCTTTTTACATGACTTGTATACTTTTTTTCCTTTTTGAGACTATACTTTTAAAGGTAATACCTTTTTGCTAAGTAATGTTGAATTTAAAGGCAATATAAAGGCATACATCTAAAAAAAAAAAAAGCTAAAAGCACACTGACAATTTGAAAACATAAATTTAGGTTGCAAACTTCTTTTTTTTTTTTTTTAAAGCAGGGTATCACCATAGAACTCCATCTGGAATGCAAGTTAGACTCAATACTTTATCCAGTTTCTAATAATTTATCTTTCTCTTGCAAAACTGCATTGGAAGACTTTTCTCTCTGCTCTCTCCAGAATATAAATACCACCTCAAACAGAACACCCACTGCGAGGCACGGTTGCCCTCTTATGATTCTTAGAGCACTCACTATGTCGCCCTCTCAAGAAGCGAAACAAACTTTCAACTAAGATAGAGTGGTCCTAGCTCTCTGAGTTCACAATGTGTTAGAGACCCACTAGGAATAAATTCACAGGTGAATCAGCATAAATATTTGCCGTGCAGTGGTGGTACCAGCACATGCGTTTAATCCCAGCGCTCAGGAGGCAGAAGCAGGCAGATCTCTGAGTTCAAGGTCAACCTGGTCTACAGTGTGAGTTCCAGGACAGCCAGAGCTATACAGAGAGACCCTGTCTCGAAATCCCCCTCCCCTCAAGAAAAAGTAGTAATAAGGAGAAACAGTTAAAAAAAAAAAAAAAAGTTCGGCTAGTGGTGGTGCCTGGGGTGTATTTAGCACTCGGTTCAGCCATGGCTGAATAGCAAAACTCTGCCAATAAGTAAATAATACTAAAAGCAAGATATTTAGCAAAGTACCAGAGGTCTACTTCAAGTTGGATAGTCATGGAAGAATTTATTCTTCTCTCCTTTACTTAGAGTGATGGCCGGCAAGCCTGGTGGAGTTTAAGGACATCATGCAGACTATACAGAGATCTTATCTAGGAAGGAAGGAAGGAAGGAAGGAAGGAAGGAAGGAAGGAAGGAAGGAAGGAAGGAAGGAAGGAAGGAAGGAAAGAAGTAAGTTGTGAGTGAGTAAATAAATAAATAATAAATAATGTGAAATCCGGACACTGCGTGATTTCAGTTACAAGGTATGTAGAGAACCACAGAAGCAGAAAGGGAAATAAATGGCAGTTAGCAGGGATTGGGACCGAGGGAAACAGGGAACTGCCATCATTGTACAAAAGTGAGTAAATTCTAGACAACTGCTCCACAACTTTGTGCCCAGAGCTGTGGTGGTGTTGTGTTCCCCAAAATATTGTGCACCCCAATAAACTTATCTGGGGTCAGAGACAGAACAGCCACTAGATACAAAGGCTAGAAAATGGTGGCACTCACACCTTTAATCCCAGCATTTCAGAGGTAGAAATCCCTCTGGATCTCAGTGAGTTCAAGGCCACATTGGAAACAGCCAGGCATGGTGACACACACCTTTAATCCCAATAAATGATCCTTTAATCCCTGGGAGTGATGGCAAAAACAGAAAGATATATAAGGTGTGGAGACCAGAAACTAGAAGCATTTGGCTGGTTAAGCTTTCAGGCTTTTGAGCAGCAGTTCAGCTGAGAACCATTGGGATGAGGACACAGAGGTTTCCAGTCTGAGGAAACAGGATCATCTGAGAAGTTGGTGAGGTGAGGTAGCTGTGGCTTGCTCTGTCTCTCTGATCTTCCAGCATCCACCCCAATAACTGGTCTCATGCTTGATTTAATTAATAAGACTTTTTACGATTCCTGCTACACAGAGCCCTGGGGTGTGGCTTAGTGGGGGGGGCTTACCTGACAGACACCAGGCCCTGCACTGGATCAGGAACAAGAAAAATCCAAGCTCAGTCTCCCTGGTTTAAATTCAAAGTGTCTAGGTGTGATGGTACAACCCTGTGATTCCAGCACTGTGGGCATCAGAAAGGCCGGCCTCAATTACATATAGAGTTTAAGGTCAATCCGGACTACATGAGACAGAGAGAAAGACAGACAGACAAACAGAAACAGAAAAGATAAACTATGTAAGAAAATAAAAGGCCAAGCATTTCTCTTTGGAGCTAAGGATGTACTCAATGACAGAGTCACCTAGACTACTGAAGGCTCTGGGCTGTGGATTAGGTCTTAACCCAAAAACACACACCAGGTTTTTGGGGGCCTGACAAGATAGTTCAAGTAGAGGAGGTACTTGCTATTCAGCCTGATAATTTGAGTTCATTTCCTAGAACCCATGTAGTAGAAGGAGAGAATCAACTCTTGCAAGTTATTCTCTGACTTCCACATTCACCTAAATACTCACATATACACACACATAATAAATATAAAAAAATGCTAATAAAAAAAAACTCATCTTGCCGGACAGCGGTGACACACGACTTTGATCCCAGCACTCGGGAGGCAGAGTTAGGAGGATCTCTGTGAGTTCGAGGCCAGCCTGGTCTACAGAGTGAGATCCAGGACAGGCTCCAAAACTACACAGAGAAACCTTGTCTCAAAATAAATAAATAATTATTTAAAAACCCATCTTTTTGAAAAATCTCAGCCAGATGTGGTGAGTCACACCTGTAATGTCTGCACTTTGAAGGCTGAGGAAAAAGATGGCCAGTTCCAATTCCAGACCCAGTCTGGGCTCTATGGCATGACCCTGTCTCAACAACAGCAATAATGAAAGTCTCATTCAAGAGAAAGCAATAAGTGCATGGCTCCCTATACTTGCAGAAGTCATATTCTGTTGCCACAGTCAACAACAGGCTCAATATATAGCCAAGGCTACAGAGAGAACCCGTGTGTGTGTGTGTGTGTGTGTGTGTGTGTGTGTGTGTGTGTGTGTTGTGTGTGTGTATGTGTGTGTTTGTGTGTGTGTGTGTGTGTGTGTGTGTGTGTGTGTTCAATGCTTTTACTTTTGATGGCATTGGGGGTTGAGTTTAGGAGTTCAGTGTGTCATGTGAGTTCTACCACTAAGCTATATACAGAATGGAGACATTGGATGGACATTTCAGGCAGATGTTGAAGGCATAGGCCACCACTGCATCAGGCTATTTTTTTTAAAGGATTTACTTACCTTTTTGTTGTTGTTTTTGTTTTTGTTTTTCAAGACAGGGTTTCTCTGTGTAGCTTTGGTGCCTGTCCTGGATCTCAATGTGTAGACCAGGCTGGCCTCGAACTCACAGAGATCCACCTACCTCTGCCTCCCGAGTGCTGAGATTAAAGGTGTGCGCCACCACTGCCCGGCCTTATTTACTTTTTTTATTTCACATGGATTGGTGCTTTGCCTGCTTGAGGATGTCGGATACCTTAGAACAGGAGTTACAGATGGCTGTGATTGCCATGTGGGTGCTGGGAACTGAACTCTAGAAGAGCAGCTGGTGCCCTTAACCACTGAGCCATCTCTCCAGCCCCGTGTGTGTATTCCTAACCCAGGAGTTGGCAAACCTACCCATAGATCCCCTATAGTTAGTTTCCCATCACACCACTGCAACTGTTTCCTGCAGGAAGGAATGGGCAAGCTCTTCAGCTGAGAGGCAAGAGTCGGGGGGTTCTCAAGACCGGAGAAACCGTGGAGTGCTCGCTTTGGAAAGGAAAAAGGTGAACATACTTGGGTGGAGGTGTAAGAATGCTAGAAGAAACCTTTTAGAGGTGAGTGGAGTGGCACGTGCTTTTTCTCGATAACACTCAGCTGCTGGGTGCAGTCCTGGAGCAATCCTATCCTTGAAGTTACTCAGCTTGTAGGTTGGCAAGGAAATCCATCCCAAGGCTCACAGTGAATCAGGCAGTGTGCCAAGCAAGGACTTCGGAGAACACAAAGAACGCAAAGTGATCCCTGCACTCAGGAAGCAAACAGTCTGCCTGGATTTAGGGTGGGTGAGACGGCTCAGCAGGTAAAGGTACTTAACACCGAACCCCAGGATTTGAGTTCAATCCCTGAGATCCACACAGTGTAAGGAAAGGATCAGTTCCCACAAGTTGTACACACACACACACACACACACACACACACACACACACACACACACTTTAAGTGCAATTTAAAATATTGAACAAGCCAGGCAGTGGTGGCGCACGCCTTTAATCCCAGCACTTGGGAGGCAGAGTATCTGTGAGTTCCAGGAAAGGCAAAAAGCTACACAGAGAAACCCTGTCTCGAAAAACCAAAACAAAATTAAAAAAAAAAAATATTGAACAAGATATGTGTTCCAAGTAAGAATCACTCCAAAATCAAAAGGCAGAGAGAATATCTAAGATGGCTCTTTGATGACGAAATCCAAGATTTGTGCTGGGAGTTGAACCCAGAGCTTTGGGACATGCTTGGCCAATGCTCTAGTAGACTTTTACCCAGATAAGTGTAGTCTTCAGCTCAATCAGGTGTGGTGATATTTTATTTGTACTGAAATGTGATTTTAATTTTATGTTAATAAATAAAGTTGCCCTGGGGTCAGAGCTATTAGAGCCATAGCAAGAGCATGGTGGTTAGAAGAGCTAGGTAGATTTCTGTGTGTTCAGGGATACAGCCAGTATTGGAGACATACGCCTTTAAGACCTGGAGGGCGGTACTTACAGGCAGTGATGAGGCAGTCATGTGGTTGGGTTTACAACCAATGAGAAGGCAGAACAGAAAGATGCTGTGGGACGGTCTGTATGTCAAATTGCTCTGATTGGTCAATAAATAAAACACTGATTGGCCAGTGGCCAGGCAGGAAGTAGGTGGGACAAGGAGAGAGGAGAATTGTGGGAAGCAGAAAACTGAGGCGGAGAGACACTGCAGCCGCCGCCATGACCAGCAGCTTGTGAAGACGCTGGTAAGCCACCAGCCACGTGGCAAGGTATAGATTTATGGAAGTGGTTAATTTAAGATAAAAGAACAGTTAGCAAGAAGCCTGCCACAGCCATACAGTTTGTAAGCAATATAAGTCTCTGTGTTTACTTGGTTGGGTCTGAGCGGCTGTGGGACTGGCGGGTGACAAAGATTTGTCCTGACTGTGGGCAAGGCAGGAAAACTCCAGCTACAGAAAGACTATTTAAACACAGACAAACAGGAAGTAGCTCTCTCTCGGGGAAGCTAGGAGCACTGCAGGAGTTAAGATTTTATCTCTGAGCTCTGACCTCTCGGCTTTCTCTTTTACATTGGCTCTGTGTTTCTTATTTTAAAAAGACGATTGGTTACATCTACAATCAGGGAATCAGCTCTTTGCAACAGAGACCATTATAGAAAATACCACCAATCAACATGCAGAGTGGTGGAGCCCAGTCCTAATGGACACATCTACAAAACACTCCTTCGAACGCTCAGGGAACTCTGCAGAAGAGGAGACCAAAAGACTGTTAAGAGCCAGAGGATCAGGGAATTTGCTGTGAGACTGTGTCTCCTAGTAACATCAGAAGCTACACACATAAAGTCTCACCAACGTGGCTGTCCAAATGTGAGCTGGACAAGGATGACGTCAATGAATATGCCATACTGGATGCGGAAACCCCACAAGGCCTTGACCCTACACAAAGAATGACAGGCAACTGAGTAAAACCAGAAGCAGGAGAGGTGGGTCTCCCCAGGGACAGCACATTCACTGGTTGTCCAGTTCCAAATGGTAAGCCTGAAAACATGTATCCAAGCAACTCTACGTGGATGAAACAAACAGGTTATATTTAGAAATAAATATAGCCTTTAATCCCAGCACTCGGGAGGCAGAGGCAGGCGGATCTCTGTTAGTTTGAGGTCAGCCTGGTCTACAGAGCGAGTTCCAGGACAGCCAAAGCTACAGAGAAACCCTGTCTTGGGAAAAAAACAAAAGAACATCAATGACTGTGATCAGTTGGGATGTCTTGGGCTGCCTTACCCTCTAAGTAGAAGATTATCTCTAATTGCAGGTGTCTATGAATGACCTAACATCCTTGTGACTATTAGGTAAATCCTTATGGAATGTAGCAACAGTCCCCACCAATTAAAGGCTGTCATCAGAAAACATTCCAGAAATATTCCAAGAGGCTTCCCACTTGGATGTAACTTACCTACCTGCTGTTTTCACCAATTCCTTTTAAAAGTGTGTTAGGACCAGGCATGAAGGCACATGCCTGTAATCCCAGGAAAACAAAACACACACACACACACACACACACACACACACACACACACACACGGCCTTGATTTGTGGTTTTTCCTTGTTCTATTTCTGTAAAAACTTCATAAAATTGTTATCATATTGAACACATTGAAACATGGCGTTTAGAATGAACTGAATCTGTGCTCCCAGGCCACAGTCACTTGTGTTTGGCTCCTGAATAAACTCTTATTCCTTTTGAGGTGACAATGGTGTGAGGTTTTGTACAGTCCAATTGTGGTGCTCAAAGAGGGGCCCCATGGACAATGCAACCTTCCTTCCTTCCTTCCTCTCCTTCTCCTCCTCTTCATTCTAAGTTTTGTAAACAGTATCAGTAGTTGGCCCTTGGCTGGCCAGGTACTTGCTCTGTAGACCAGACTGGCCTAGAATTTATAGAGAGCCGCCTGCCTCTGCCTCAAGAGTGCTGGGATTAAAGGCATGCGCCACCACAGCCTGGGAAAATCTACTTTCACTAGAGGAGGCCCCAGATCGGCATCCAGTACCAACATGATCTCCTAGTGCCCAAGTGCCTGGCGCTGCTTCAGGGGAAGGGTCTTTCCGTGGCTCCAGCATCCTGTGAATCGACTGGGGAGCCCTCGGTGGATTCTGAGGGGTGGTTTAGGGGTGGCTGTGTTGGACATCTTTTCTTTTGTTTTCAGAGCTTTAGATGGAGGTCTGCATTCTGTTTGAAAGCACCCTGGGTGTCTGACCTTTCAGTTTGTATAAACTTTTTCTCCCACCATCCCTTCAATGTCTAAGTCATGAGTTCAAGGCCAGCCTGGTCTACAGAACAATTTCCAGGACGGACTCCAAAGCTACACAGAGAAACCCTGTCTCAAAACAAACAAACAAACAAACAAATAAATAAATAAATAAATAAATGGGGCCAGGCAGTGGTGGTGCACACCTTTAGTCCCAGCACTTGAGCAGAGGCAGGCAGATCTCTGAGTTCATAGCCAGCCTGATCTACAGAGTGAGTTTCAGGACAGACAGGGCTACACAGAAAAACCCTGTCTCAAAAAAACTAACTAAATAAATAAATGGGGAAACATAACTGAAGATAATTTGGCTTTATACTTCCCTCATTGGGGAGCATTTAATGTCTGTAAACTGGATGTTAGGCATTTGGGGGTTTTGGTTTTGCACACTACACTAAAAGTCCTAGGCAACAGATTTTTTTTTTTTTTTTGAGACAGAGTTTCTCTGTGCAACAACCCTGGCTGTCCTGGAACTCTCTTTGTAAACCAGGTTGGCCTCAAACTCACAAAGATCCACCTGCCTCTGCCTCCTGAGTGCTGGGACTAAAGGTGTGCACCACCACTCAGCGCAGCCAGTGCTCTTAACTACTGAGCCAACTCTTCAGCTATGCCTGGCTGCAATAGAAGTTGTTTTTCTCTGGGTTTTTCGAGACAGGGTTTCTCTGTAGCTTTGGAGCCTGTCCTGGACTAGCTCTGTAGCCCAGCCTGGCCTCGAACTCACAGAGATCCGCCTGCCTCTGCCTCCCAAGTGCTGGGATTACAGGTGTGTGCCACCACCGCCTGGCTTGTTTTTTTTTTTGTTGTTTTTTGTTGTTGTTTTGTTTTTTGAAGACAAGGTATTTTTGTTTTTGTTTTAAGACAGGGTTTCTCTGTGTTTTTGTGCCTTTCCTGGAACTCGCTTTGCAGACCAGGCTGGCCTCGAACTCACGGAGATCTGCCTGACTCTGCCTCTCAAGTGCTTGGATTAAAGGTGTGCACCACCACTGCCTGGCTATCAAAGCAAGGTTTCTATCTATAACAGCTTTGTCTGTCCTAAAACTCACTCTGTAGACCAGGCTGGCCTCCAAAGCTTGCCTCAAAAAACCAGAAAAGAAATAATAATAATAAAAAAAGTTCTCTCCAAAGAACTTCATCCAGATGAGAGAGGTGATCCATCTTCAAAGTGCACTGAAATAAAAAGTCTGGAAAGGATTTGACAAAACATTCAAGTCAAACCCAGAATAAATCCAGCAGGAAGAGGTAGCATGAAGCATCACAGGACTTCTTTATCCGGTTCACTGGTCATTCCATGCAAATGAGTTAGGAAAGGTCATCAAAGGTGATATGTGACCCAGCACTTGTGAGGCAGAGCCAGGTGGATCTCTGAGTTCAAGGCCAGCCTGGTCTACAAAGCGAGTTCCAGGAATGGCGCAAAGCTACACAGAGAAACCCTGTCTGGAAAAACAAAACAAATCAAAAAAAGTTCAAGTCCTGCCTGAGTCACAGAGTGACTTCAAGGCTATATGAGCAGCTTACAGGGCAAATTATGAAAGACCCTGTCTTTTTTTTTTTTTTTTAAGATGTATTTATATTTATTTTACGTAGTGCTCTTTCTGCATGTAAGCCTTTATGCCAGAAGAGGGCATCAGACCTCATTACAGATGACTGTGAGGCACCATATGGTTGCTGGAAATTGAACTCAGGACCTCTGGAAGAACAACCAGTGCTCCTAACCGCTGAGCCATCTCTCCAGCCTTAACCCTATCTTTTTTGTGTGTTTGTTTTTGTTTTGTTTTGTTTTTCAGGACAGTTTCTCTGTGCAGCTCTGGCTGTCCTGAAACTCTCTGTAGACCAGGCAAGCCTCGAACTCACAGAGATCCACCTGCCTCTGCCTCCTGAATGCTGAGACTAAAGACGTGCACCATCACTCCGGGCTCCAAGACCCTGTCCTTGCTGGGTAGTGGAAAACAGGATACAGAATACAAATATAAGGTGTGAGATTGAAGGGTATAACCAGGAACTCTGGGTCATTTGGTGTTGCTGGAATGTGAAGTATAAGGGACAAGATGGCAGGGGATGAGGTCAATTGGGGACAAGCAATTGTGGGAAAGATTGCAATGCTGTGGTAAGGGACTATGGTGGTTTGAATGAGAATGTCCCCATAGGCCTTCATATTTGAATGCTTGGTTCCTAGTTGGTGGAACTGTTTTGGGAAGGATTAGGAGGTGTGGCCTTGTTGGAGAAGTCTGTCACTAGGGGTGGACTGGAGATTTCAAAAGCTCATGCCAGGCCTAGTCTTTTGTTCTTTATCTCCAACTTGGGGTCAGATGTAAGCTCTCAGCTACTTCAGTTCTCATACCTGCCTGGTGCCATGCTCCCTACATTGGTAGCCATGGATTTACCCCCTGACTGGGAGGCAAGCCCCTACTTAAATGCTTTATTTTATAAGTTGCCTAGGTCATGGTGTCTCTTCACAGCAATAGACAGTAACTAAGACAGAACCTTAGACTTTATTCTACAAGAACCAGAGGGATTAGCACAGAGTTGCAAGCAATGGGAGACTGAGGTTAGACCACTTAGAAGCTGCTGCAGTAGTGCTGAACCAAAGGCATGCCTTGGGAAGCCTGGCAAACAGTTCAGGAAGAGTTAATAGTCCCTGGTGATTAAATCTGGCTGCATGGGAAAGAGAAAAAATAATGTATCACTTTTTCTAGTTGTCACACTGGTGGTAGCCCTAACCCAAAGGACTGTTCCTAACATCAGGGAGACAGATACAGAGTCCTCTCACAGTCTTCTCTGTGTTGGTTGATGGCAATGCCATCTTCCCAATGTCCAGGACGACGCAGGGCCTTAGGCACGTCTCAGCTCTTTTCTTTCCCATTCCACTTATTTGGGTTTCATCTCCAAAATGAATCTAGAATCTCACTTCATCACATTAGTTCTCCCGCTGTCACTCAAATCCAGATCAAGCCCTTCTTTTGTGAAGAGAGGCTCTGCAGCAATCTTCCTCTGACCAGACATTCATAGTTAGATTGTGCTCCCACGCTGGCTTGAAATCAGGCCACAGTTTTCCATTTCTCTCAGTAAATACCACATCTCTACAGCAGGAAGCAAAGCTCTCCATGACCCATTTCCATTATTCTTTTCATATTTTCCCACCTTTTTAATTTGATTTTTATGTATACACGTGTTTGCCCGCATATGGATATGTGCACTACATACTTGCCAGATGCCCACAGAGCCAAAAGAGTGTCAGAGCCATGGGAACGGGAGTCACAGATGGTTGTGAACTGCTGTGTGTGTACCGGGGACAGAACCAGGTCCTATGCCAAAGGAGCAAATGTTCTTAACCCCTGAGTAACCTCCTGAGACTTCAGACATCCCACCATTCTGGACTTATACTTTCTAAAATCATTTATCATTATTTTGTTTAGTTCCTTCTTGTTCCTGCTGCGCATCCTTCCTTGCTGCTCTCACTGACACCCAGCTTCCTTGCTAGCTAGTCACAAGTTTTAGGCAAGTTCCTGTCTAGGGCTTGTAGGTGACCTTCGATTGTTGGATACTTTAAACTTTATCATTGTTGCTTATGAATAAATAATGTGTGTGGGCACATGTGCCATGCAGTGTGTGGGTTCAGAGGAAAACTTTATGGAATTGGTTCTCTCCTTCCACCTTTACCTGGGTTCTGGGGATCAAACTCAGTGGTCTGGCTTACATGGCAAGCACCTTTACTCATGGATCTATCTTTCTGGCCATGATTTTACATACAACACACACACACACACACACACACACACACACACACACACACACACACACGCACAAATAGAAACTAAAAAGAAACTTCCCACCTTTTTTCAGTGTTGGGGACAAGACCTAGAATCTTGTCAGGCATGTACTCCACCACTGAGATACACCTCCAGCCCTTTTCCAACTTTACATTTTCTGACAGGGTCTTTCTACATTGCCCAAGGTGGCCTTGAACTTGGGATCCTCTTGCCTAACTTTTGAATATGTGGGATTACAAGTCTGCACCATCAGGCATTAATATTTCCATTGTAATCAGCCTCTTCACTTTCCAGACCCCTAACTTTTCTTTCTTCATAGTGATTTGTTCCCTTAATGAACTACTGCAATTTTCAAAACCAGTTCTGTTCTTTAGTATCTAATATCTGTTTCTAACCTCTACTCTGGCAGATGGTAAAATTCATAAAGGCAAGAACAATTCTATTTTGTTCCTTCATGTAATCTGATGTATGACGTAGACAGAATCTGGCCTAAAGTAAGCATTCAACACATATTTGAGTGAATGTGCCAACAGAAGGAAAGAGGCCAGGAAAATGGGGAGACGTTGAGGTAGTGAAAAGGGGACGATTAATACTAATAAATTAAAATACTCTCATTTTGATTATACTATATATATATAGTATATATTATATATATAAATTATACTATATTTAAACTTTATTTAGA